ACTAAGTAAATAAATTATTGGTTTTGTAGTGATTCTAAACAGGAAACATGCAAAAAAAATGTTTTTATAAACAACTTCAATATTTTGTTTTTCATTACAAATGAAATAGAGACATTTGTGCTCCAATAAGGAAGCACAAAACTTAATTTCCACATTTAAAACACCAGTTCTGAATGGTAGGGAAGAAGGAAGCTTCACGTAAACAATGTTACAAATGAGAGGATGCCATTTGAACTGGGACATCTAGGCCAAAATTCAGATACTCGGAGAAGGCAGCCTCATAATGGTAGAAAAGGCAAAGATATTAATGTGTTTCATTAAAAAAGTCATGGGGTTGGTCCAAACAACACAAATTCAAGACCAGCATAAACACGTTAAAGGAAGAGATATACAGTAAGTCAGGCAAACCTTTGTCAGTTCAGAAAGCACGCAGCATGACCTTGAATATCCTTTCCAGCACTTACAGTAACTAAAAAAAGACCAGTTGCCACAAGGTTGTCATTGGAAGGCTAAAAAAAAACTTTTTGTCAACTACCGTAAATAAAAGCTAAGGTCGGAAAGTAAGTCAAAATGAACCTGAAATACCTGGGAAATTGTACTGTATGTTGGAACTACTGTACGAAACCTTCACGTATAATGGTCTGATGAGGCCAAATTTAACATGATGGGGAGTAGATGGTGGGAGTTTGTTCTGACACAAGACATTAATATTTTATTGCAGAAAGACTCACAGCCAGCTGTGGTTCTGAGGTTGTAGATTAGGGGTGGTGTCATAGATATCAGAACAGAATAAATTGTGAACCTTGCAGTACCATCTGAAAATCTCTAAATAGAACAGAATTCATTAAAAATAATTAATGGTTATACCCCTATATGACCCTTCATACAAACTTGTTTTCAGTACCCAACAGAGCTTAAAAGGTCTATGTAAATTAGACTCTGAAATGGCATGTTTAAACACAATTTAAATCAACCCGAAATGTTATGGTATAATACTCAAGATCTTTTTTATAAAAATCTGAGCAGTCTAGCACCTAGTGAAAACATTATTATTGTCATAATATTTTTTAAAAGAAGAACACTTTAAACATCACATCTCAGGCTCATAACTAAGTAATGAAACATAAACAATATGTTCAAACACGTGAGAAAAAAAGGCAAGCACTGATTATCCTTTTCAGCAACCCGTTGCACTGTCTTGCAGAAGTACAGACTGCAGTGAATGAGGCTGTTCACCACGTTTCCTGTTTGTGACAGCAAAAATACAAGAGAGGGAGTAAAAATAGACCATATAAAGTACAGGTAGCAAGGCTTTGCAGGAATGTAACAACTCTGGACAGGATCACAGACATTACAGATTCTAACCTTTGTGCCATTTGTGGAATCCTCATCAAAGATGGCAGGTAGGCTTTGAAACAATCATTTGTTTTAGACAATATTCATACATACTGTAGGTTGAACTTTACTCTCTCCAGTCTTTCTCTTTCAATATTCCACATATACTAAATAAAGATAATGGTGTTTTTAAGTAGATATATTTTGGAATCATATTTTTCTCCCTGAAAGAAGAAACCATCAATCATGCAATTTAAAAAGTGGAGCTATTTCATGCTATATTAAGGATAATATCTTTTTGAGGACGAGACTCGTCTTTAGTGAAAGTGTATTGTGTTATTTTTACTTTTTGAATTTTTGTGACCTGTAATCAAAAGAGTGTACACTGTATTAGTATATATACAATATATTACCTTATGTTTAACAATACTTTGTACATTTAAATAACAGAGAAAATTATAAGGCAAGTGCTCAATTTCTTTTACAACAGTTGCAGAATGTGGTCTTATGCCCTCAGAACCTGATAAGGCTTCTTTGTGAATGAGACTCTAGAATATTGCCATTGTAAAATAGCAGCTGTTCATTAAATACTCTGAGCTAGATAAAACAAATTTGCAACACTTCAATTCGCAATATTCACAAGAAACTTTAAACAAATTTGAGCCTTTATGTAATTACTACTGAACATCTATTTTTTTTAAAAAAGCACAACAATAGAATATGTGCTGTTAATACAGTGCTGGTCAAGAAACAGCAACATGATAAGTCAATTTTTTAATCATTGTTGGAAGATCTTACATCGATAAATAAGTGGAATGTATTCTTTTTTTACTTGAACTGGCTTCGTTTCAAATGAAACTCGACATTCTAAACGTTTGTGGGATTTCAGTACTGAATTTAAATTGACACTTTCTTTTGGATAATACAAAGAAAATTTCAAATGGAGTTGAACAGGTGTGCAAAAGTAATTTGTGTCTTAGAACTCTGCATTTGGGTGCAATGTTTGTTTTGAAATACTGTTACTCAAACATTCATTTTAATCAATATACTGCCAAACCTAATTATGGTTAAAATATTATTGGCTTTGAAAAATATACAAAACATGTTAAGTTGTGCTTCGGTGCAGAATAATTCATGTTTTAACACAGCAGGGTTTATTAATTTGTCCGAGTTAACTAAAACTGAATTGTACAAGACTTCACTTGCCAACGAACAGTGGTTGAAAAGATCGGTCTTAAGCTTGTTTATGGTGTACATTCTGAACAAAAAAGCTTGATCTATACCTGCATCTTCAAAGTTCATTATATGATATTGTGCGTTACATAATAAGAGTAACGACAAGAACCAAGAGACAGACTGGTATAGTGGTTAAGGGCCCTCCGGACTATAAGGGCCCAGGGGTTCAGCTTCTAGATGGGAAGACTGCTGCCGTTTAAGCAAGGTATGTTACTCAACACGCCAATATTAAAGGGCATCGAAATATGTGTGTTTATCACTTATGGAGGTCTCAGACAATTTAGTAACAATAAAGAACCCACTTTGGGTATAAGAAACCAGCACTCTATAACCTCTTCAACAGTTGGCAAATAACAGCAAAAACAACATTTAGCTCAACTGATATTTAATTTGAGGTTTCCTGTAGCTAACTACTGCTTGGATCAGTTTGGGGGGGAATACCTGCATATCAGTTCTGCTATGCCACTGAACACTTTCTTTGTTGTGTCACTCACAAGGCATTAAAAACTAATCTTCAGTTTGTTACCGCGCTGCTAATCAAAGGGCATAATTTTCCATTACAGTTTCATTTTGGAAAACCACGAACTTCTAATATGAATTTACAGTGCCAGCTGAAATCGTAGTTAGAAATTTAGGAGTTAAGTAAATTTTGACTACATCGTTCATGTTTAATCAGTATATTATCTCGGCTTGTTTCTATCGTAGTGCATATACAATATACAGTAGTACATCGGTAAAGGTCAAATACTAAAATCTTCAGATTATATGGAGGAAACTGACATATTAATAGCTTACAATGAAAGAATCAAATGAAAAGGCTTTACTTATTTTCAAGAGATTGAAAAAATGATGTGCATAATATATGCAGGACTTTATATTCAATGAAGTTTGTTTTGTTAGCACTTTTTCAGCTAAACTGAGCTGTCAGTTAGGAGACAATGTATAATATCCTTCCATCCATCTTCTAACCACTTCGTCCAATTCAGGGTTGTGGGGGAACTGCAGCCTACAGTATCTTGACAAGCAAAGGGCACAAGGTGGGGTACACCCTGGACAAGACACCAGTCCATTGCAAGGCACACACAGGGACAAGTGTTACTGTATACATACAGTAAATACGAGCATGTACACTCTGAGGTAGTGAAACATTTTCATTAAAAAACGTAGTCAAGCAAAAATAAAACAACTAAACTTCTAAAACTGCCAAAACAAAATCTCTGAGATTATCCATTTCCATTTTTGGTTATTTCTCTCAGATTACTCAATTAAGAAAAGTGAAATTAAGATGGCACATACTGTATAACAAGATCTGCCCTTTCCAGCTCAGTTTATTACTATTGCTTGACTTGAATGGAGAATTGTGACCTGACCACATACTTAAGTAATCCCACATGTTTATATAATGTTCAACTAATTATTTAATTAATGTTTTGACATCTCAGTCTTTGCTCTGTGTTTATTGTTTGTCGCACTGGCTTTTTTACTCGTTGTCTCTATGTCACCAACAATCAACAATAAGCACATGAGAATTTATTTACCTTTCTGACTCCATATTTTGGAAGCATTTACTTAAAAACTACAGCAAAGGCTAAAATAAACTGCATTATTGTAACAACAGTAGAATCACCACTGGTACTGTATATATAGAAACAAATGGCAAGCCGTCTGATATTAATAAGGCCATAATCAAGAAAAGAAACTCACTAGACCCAATGTTTAATTGCATTTAACATTTATAATGATTTTAAATAAAGAGAAACCCTGCTACTCTGGGTATGCTGATAAGAGTTTTGGTTTAGTCTTTAGGAAATTTGAATTTTCTAGTTCTTCAAGCTTTGAATACTGTACATCACTTGACTCAAAAACAAGTTACTTTGTTTTCAGGTTTAGCTAGTGTAATTATCACTTCAATTCATTTTGTAAATATGTTTTTAAATATTTTTGGAAAGTGTAGACACATCCTTCTAGGACTATGCTTATTTCTTTAAAGTGTATCATACATTCTAAGTAGCTACAAAGTCTCTCATTGAGGAAAGAGATTGCAATTATTAACCATTGTCAATTCAGCATGGACAAGACCACCAACACAATGTTCTCAGAACAAAGACTCCAATTCATACATTTTTTTTAATAGTGTTTTATAGTAATTTAGTGAAACTCACAACAGAACGTCTCACAGTAAGAGGTGATCCTATTTTAAAATGAAAATCACAAAATAAATGTAAATTTCCATCTCTCTGCCTCACGTGAAAGAGTGAAAATCACCTTTTACACTCAAGACTGTTCACTATGGTGTGTCTTTAACATCCAAAATAAATTGTACAGCAATTTGTTAATGTCTTTTCAATAAAGATCAAACCTGAGATGAAACTCGAGAAAAAGACAAAGACCTCACTAACAAAACCACATAGGCATAATTATTTAGTATTAATAATAAATTTGGAATATTTTTTAAGAATTGTAGGTGCAATTATTTTTTAAAGACACATTTTGGTGCCCGGATATATAGCTGGGTTTGATGAAACAATGTGAACAAAACCCCTCAGTGTCCCTACCCGAGATTTTAACGTCTCTACGAACCTTGCTACTTGCTACCACCCAAAAAAACAACAGGTGGAAGAACTTCCAGATCTGATGTCTTAAGCTCCATAGCACAGTAGCTCAGCTGCAGCTTTGGGATCCTTAGGGATGAAGAGTGCTTTGCAATGAATATTATTAATAACAAATTATTATCTAGAGCCTACAACAAATAGCTACAAAGAGTCACCCATGTTAACGCAACAGAAAAGCTGAGAACCGGTAAGCACACCTACTGTAAATAGGTTTTTAAGAAATATGAGCTACTCAAGGAAATACAATGATGTGGAATAGTGGTCAGGACTCTGATCATAAAGCAGATCATAATTTTAAATCTTAGGAGGACAATTGCTTCACTGTTTCCCACCCCCAAACAAGAAACCTCAATCACATTGCTCTAGTAAATCTCCTGCTGTATAATATGGTCTCCAGGTCATCGCTGTAAACGAGATGAATGCCTCCTCACCTACAGACATGGCAGTACAGACACTGTTAGACTAGTGTTTCTACTAGCATTCTGTTAGCTCTTTTACAAACTATTTTCTCACTTAAAAACAGTATTCATAGTTACATACTGCATGCTTGATGCCCATGATGCATATTCTAGGAATAAACTATTATAAGTGTTAGAATTACAGTGGATTCAATTAGGCTGTATTTTGAGGAGGTGTGAAATAAATCCTTAAGGGGAGAATGGGTTATAAACCGCTCCTTAAAAGGCTGCTTACCTAGAGATTCTGGAATTCATAAAAAAGCAATAGCCAAAGTCAAGGATCTTCAGTGCTAAACTTTGTTCCATAATATCGCTTATGGTCTACACATATTGAATTAAACCTTTCATATTTCTGTATGTTTTTTGTTTTCTTACTTAGAACCCTGCAGTTCTGCCTGGTTGGGTCTGGCAATGACGGCAATAGCACTGCTCATATCTGTTTGTTTAAACATAGTCTTTTGCTTGAGGCAAAGGAAATGTGAGCAAGGTGGGTGCAATTTTAATATACCTTTAAAAAGTAAATGTGGTAACTGCATTTTACACAGTAAAATCAATTTCTACAGTGACATTAGTGAATGACTTACCTAACGTTTTTCTTACAGTATTACTGATTTTTAAGCTTCACAAACTAGAAAAACTCACCCTTATGGTGACATTATGAAACAAAAAACAAGACAAACATTTTCTTCAAATAACATGATGAGAAATTTACTCATTTCAGAATTTATTTTTGTACTTCATGTTAGGACACCTAAGATACAAAACCTCATACAAAATTTTTCTGGCATTTTTCAAGTCAATGTATGTACTTGCATGTCTTGTGAAACAGATATTTGATCTGAATACAGATAATCTTCTTTTTAACACATCTCAAGAGCTGTCTTTTTTGTTTAGTAAAACAAAGTAAAATTGTTTAGTCATGTAATATACTGGAACCACCATTTTTTTTATTTTCTAGGTTTCTCACACAAAGCTGCCATTGACACATATTTGTTAATGAGAGCAGAAGATGCTCAGTATTCCATCAGAATCTAATTTGTAATCCTATTCTTCTAAAACACAGTGATTACCCAAAACTTGGATTGTTTGTATTGTCCTCACACTTAATATGTAAATGAGGCCAGATCATAAGTACAGTAATTCAAATGAACTATCATCTGAAGGTGATCATCGGTCAGAAACCTGTCCAAAAGTTTTATGTTTGGGCTTTTCAATCCACGTGGTGACATTTTGAACACTGTATGAAGAACACTTAAAACATTTAAACATTTATACATTAAAAAAATCTATTTTGCAATCTTCTTGTTGACTGAACACAGTAGTTTCAGTTTTATAACCACATCTTTAAATTCAGGATCGCAGGGTCCTAGACAGGACCAGTCCATCACAGGAAGACAGACACAAACGCAGACACACAATGAATTAATCCTTAACAGTTTTATTAAAGGGTTCAAAGCCCTGCAGTGGCATGTAATGTAAACACTAAGGTCAACTACTCCTGTGTTAAACTTAGACCTTATTGCAACATAATGTTTAACTGAGCAGTTTTACTATGAAAAGGAGTGGTAAAGAGTTATAATTGTATTACTGTCAGATCCATGATTTTGTATAATAAACCTAACTTTTGTATTATTGTATTCATTTTGCAGTGCCTCAGCAAATAATATATCCAGACTATGCTCCAAGGTATGAGATGTGTTATATTGTCTTATATTGTCTTTTAAAAACGTTTGAGGATCAGCCTTTTTATGTTGCTTTAAAGTATTGTAAAGGGTTTACAGGTCAAACAAAAAATAATTGTTTTAAACTTAATAATGAAGATTAATGAAAACAAAACTATTCAGTATGTACATTATTATACCTACTGATGTTTTGTAATATAAACAAGATTTTTTTAAACTGAATTTTAATTTAAATCTAATGTCGCACATTATAATTTACACTATAATGCACTATAATACACTATAATACACTTAAACTTGTTGCAGGATTATATCATTGCATATTAAAATTATTATTTAAATGTTAATGGATGGTATGTTATAGAATTATGTCTGAAACTCATGTATACAAGGAACAACTGAAAGCTCAAGAAGAAACTGTTTTAATCTCAATAGGTTACATTACTTCAAATGCTTGCCTAAGATGGCCAGTCATCGTTTAAAATGAAAGTTACATAACATTTTGTTGTAAAGAGAATAACCTGTGAAATATTTCTAAGCCTAATCAGATCTCAAATTTTCTTATCAGTACAGAAGCTGCTAAAGAGCAGTTAAACCACAGTTTTGTCCTAGAACAACTGAGACAATGAGACTTTAATAGAATTAAAGAAGTGCTGTAGACCAAGTACTCAACGACAAGGCACATGCAAACCAATTTATTATGTACTACAATTACACAAATAATATATACAATAATCTAGACTACAATGCATTACACTGAACAAATCCTATTACTCCATCACTGCTTCAAAGTGAAAACAAAAGTTTACAAAGTGGCAGGCACCTTTTAGTGTTGCCACTGAGCAGGGTTGTACAAAATTACAAATGGGTTTAGCTTGAGAATTTGTTACATGTTCCAAAAAGTGCAAAATGGAGTGACCTTTCTGTTTATCCGTTGGTTTCCTGTAGTTATAGGGAGGAAGAGCAAATTGATGAAAATCCAATATATGGGAATATAAATCAAGACTTTGAAGGTAAGTTCCTTTATTATCGTGTTGCCTTTGGTGCGTGCTGTCGATTACTTTATAAAGATAACACTTTTAACAATTTATTCTTGTGCATACCCTTTTTGGATGCTCTGCTCTGTAAAACTAAAATGTTGCTAGTGAGAAAAGCAAAGTCCCTTATGTCGGCATTGACATAGATTTAGATTTGTGGACTCCATTAATCTGCAGATTTTCCTAAAAAAATGTTAGCTCTCATAAGTATTTAAAAGTTACAAAGGGAAGGATTTGTCACTGACAAACTTACAATTGTAAAACACCAGGCTCAGGCACTCTAATAATAATGGGTAGAATGTCAATGTCAAAGTGAAGTAGATTAAGGTAGAAGAACTAAAAGCTTAAATAAACACTAAAAAGGCAATTCATTATTTCTTTTTGGGCACACAGCAAGTGTAGGAATGTCTCCAAAATGACCTGCCTACACAAAATTGTTTGCTCTTTTCAGTGAACTACATTTTTTCTGTTTCTAATAAAACAAAAATAGATTGCTAGCCATTCTGTGACTTCAGTGCTTCCTCGGAGCTGTAGAAAACTGAAGAAAGCAGGTCTGCATCAGCGGCTTATCTAACATTTTAAAATGTCAAATAACTTTTTATGATCTGCGACAACAAATGACCACAGCTCAGTGGTACAGAGACCCATGACACAAATCATTTTAACAGAAACTGTACTTAAGTACTTGCATTTTGGCCATTAAAAAAAAATCAGATGACATCAACTTTCATATAAATCTGATTTGTACTGCATTGAATATATGGACTAAATGAGCTGAACCACCTTTTTTCTTGTTTTCTTGATATCAACCCAATATTAATGGTTTCTTTGCTGTTCCTAAGCACATGAGGACTATGACTGTGAAGAGGAATGCTATGAACAGATGAAAGCTCCTAGAAAACAACAAACTGGAAAAAAGGTATTTTGAAATATAAAAAATCTGCTACAAGTAGAACAAATGATTGGAAGTTATGCTCGAGACAGAAAAGGACTGCAGGTGCAGATGGTACACAGCAGAGACAGCAATCTCATTAAAAATGATTATTTTCACCTTTAAAGACAATTCACAAATCTGAAAGACAAACTGGAAAATCAGAGAACAGCTTTTACGGTTGTTCTAGTTCAAACATTTTCAGAAGTAAACTGAATAAAGTGAGAACATTTTTTAAGAGCATGACACTTTAGAATAACTCTGAGGGTAATAAACGTGAATTATTTTTGTTGTTTTTTTTCTTTCAAAGCAGACAAGCATGTTCACATCAAAAATACAGTTCAGTAGCACAGTGTGTTTTCAATTCTTTTGACGTGTGCAGATGGTGGAATTCGTCATTTTCGCTGAAGCATAAATGAACAAATGAATTCAGTAAGAGTCTGTAAACTCAGAAAACAGAAAAGGCGACATTATTTTGCTAATCTGTTGCTACAACAATTAACATCTTAACGTTTACAAACATGGTCATTAAAAATATAGCTGAGAATAGAAAGGTTTGCAGTCACCAATATTTTTTAACATGCAGCATTGCCGAACAAAGACACAATATGTTACCTTCAGTATTTTACAGGACTGTATCTACTGTATAGTATTGTCTTTCAATGGTGGGGCTTGCAATCGTCACTTCAATAAATAAAACTTACAATTTTTAAAGAGCAAGACGTTTATATGACTCTTTGGATATTCAAACATTATTGTAAATAGGACTCTTTTGTAAGTTGCATGTTTGTTTGATATGGGAAACTGCATGTGAAGATATTGAAGCTTTCTTTAAAAAAAAGAACACAAAAAGGATTTTGTACTGTTTTATATTAAGGACTTCATTAGCTGATTCTCTTCTAGATTTTCAAGACAATGTTTGTTGTCTTTTAAAGGTTCAGTTGCCAGTTAAACAATTAATTGTGTGTTGGCACAGAATCTGTCTTTAAATTTACACGTTCATTCCTGAGAAAGAGCCAATTGTTTGAAATGGCGGCACAGTCACCATTATGGTAAATTTACCATACATTTAATTACTCCAGCAGTTTTATTTCATTACAATATTTCTTCTAGTGACTTAAAAGCCTAAGCAAATATACAAAAAAAACAAACTTTCAAATACTGCATACTGTATCTGCATGCTACAAATAGCACATACTGTATTTCCTACAGGCCTTAGACAGTAATGATTTCAAGATGTGCGGATTTCTTTCATTAATAACGTCCGCTGTGGCCTGTCATATAGAATTACAGTTTATAAAAGAGTTAGAATTTAGAGCACATTGAGACATACAGTGAATAGTTTTTAAATTTATATATATATATTTTGGATGTATTAAAATATACACCATTCCTCATTTAGTAGAACATCAATTAAATAACCTTAATATGTAATTAATTTATATATATTTATAATAATATTGGTTTAAGGATTAGCAGGTTAATAAGCTTGGCACTCAGTATCAATGTGTTATACACAAAAACTATGCAAAAGTAATGCCATTTATGTACTATGTACTAACCTCCACAAAAACGAAAACTGAACTGGGAAAAATTCCTGTGATGTGGGGGTACTCCATTTACTGCTGATACCCACATACATTTGAGTCAAATCAATTCTAGCTTTAATAAAAGGTTCTGAGCAAATTAAAGAAGATTATATACAAATATTATGAGTGTCAATACTGCATCTGTTTTCCTTCTAGTCGGGGAATGTGGCAGGAAATTTGGAATAAAATATTTACTCATGTGAAGTCAAGTCAAAAGAATGGGTTTTTTGCATAAAGGTGTAAATATTTAAGTAAACAGCATAACAGTTCTACTGATCTACACAGAAACGTAAAGAAATTCGTGGTTTTTAAGAAAAAGCATAGTAAATTGCTTTCTTACAAGAAGATAAGTAAACTATCTTCCTTATAGTAAATCTTACTTCTGGCAACAGGCAATCTTCATAATATACAGTCAGCCCCAGTCCTCGAAGTACTGTTGGTGCCTGTACTTCACTCCACATCTCATATTGAACTACTTGCCTGAATGAAAAGATCTCGCAGGCCATTCAGTCGGTAATTGCAGAGTACCTATGAACTCTGTAGGACTCTGGAGTTACCCATCGCTAGAAGACTTTTCAGCTGCGATAAAGCCCAGCAGTGTTTAAAAAAAACTCTCTCACACAATTAATCTGCACTGACTGCATGTGCTGTATGATGCACCTTTTAACCTGCTCTGTTTAACAAATATTCTGTTAACTTAAATATTTAAGTTAACAGAAGCATTATGTAGAATTAGACTGTCGTTTGAATTCATGTTTAAGCTGGGGGTGTGGAATGAGCGGAATACATTCCAAAGCTTCCAATCGCTGATCTAGATGCATCAATCCTGTTTCTCTAAACAGCCGGCCGCAGAGCCCAGCATGTGCTACGCCTCTTTGGATCTGACGGTGGATAAGAAAAAGAGGAAAAAACACAAGAACAGACAGGCCGCCCAGGATTTTCTGGAAGTAGAAACCGAACAAACTCTACCATCGAGATCCAGCAGCACCATGGTCTCTAGAAACAGCATCTACCTGAACAGTCAGCAGCTGACAGAGGAAAGCGAGGAGGCCATTCACGAGGACCCTGCCATGATCTTCAGCAAGTTCAACAAGAGCCAGTCGATACCTCAAGACAGTATGTAGCTGGACCAGCCCAGGATTGTTTGTTTTTTTTAGTTCTGTGAACCAGGCATTCACTCTGCATTATTGTATGAATAGTGTTCCGTTTTTTCAGTGTTCTTTTTTTCACGGGACATCCCTTTGAGCCTAACTTAACGATTCTGATTTTCCAGTCAAGAACACTAATACCTGATCAAATATGAGAGAAGGAAGCTGCTACACACTTCCACATCTCAGCCACTGAGAATTTTGACAGACAGTCACTGTGGCACAATGTACAGGCAACGCTGATTATTAATCCCAGTGCCTGGTAAATCAGCATTCAGTTTCCCAATTGATGTGTGTGTATGCATATGGTTGCGCATGTACATGTATCTCCCAACAATATTTTTTCAGCACACTGGACCTGCAGGTAATTTACAATATTCACGACTATAATATTTAAATACTTCTGATTAATAACCATTAAAAAACGTGCTACAGTGTACCCCAATTAAAACTTTTTGCTTAATTAGTTTAATTTTGGGTCTAGTGAAGACACAATGACTCCTAGTTGCCTTTTAAAGGCAGGTATGTCAATGTAAAATAAGCATTGAAAATGTGTAACACAAGATTTTGTGTGTATATAGTATATTTGCAAAAAAAATCAGTTTTCCTATTTTAAGGCACGTCAGAGGTAACATTTTGAAATGACAAAATTTTATCTTTATTAATAAGAACAATCTAAAACAGAAGCTTAGAATCCCAGAATGCACTGATTAGGCAAAAGAGTGCCCTAGTCCATTTGTATTAGAGGACAATTACCTAGAAGAAGTTTGATCGAAATCTTCAGAATTATGAAAGGAACAGCCAAAGTTGTTCTAACAGCTAACAATATAAAAGCAGATGAATGTCCAAGTTAACAGAAGTAGATCCGGAATTAATACAGATTTCAGTTTTCAGCAGAGTGGTTGATGCTTGCACTTGGTTGCCAAGCTATGACACTTACTCTAGAACAGTGCAATATGACAAGAATGTTTTAAGTCATGTTAGTGTTACTAAGCGAGTTCTGAGTGACAGTATTCAGGCTGTTCATGTGTAATAATAGGTAACCGACGCTCACTGGGATTGGTAACTGACACTCACAGTGGCAATTTCAAGGTGGAAAACAGATCAAATACCAGAAGAAGGAAGCCTGACCTCAAGGTTTTCAGAACATCAAAAAACATCACACATAGCATGCAACACGAGACTGGTGCAGCAACAGTAATCCTAAGTATTTGCAGCTGCTTGCTCAAAGAGAAAGGTTCCTGTCGGAGAACAAAAGAGAAGAGAAGTGCAGTACTAAGTATGCAAATACCGCAGTATTGACTTTTTTGTTATTTTTGCTACACATTCTCCTGTGATGAGACCATGGCCATCTGATATAGGCTTTTATCGGTAAAAGATGTATTTAAATGTATTCTTCTAGAAAACTTATCTTCCACTGCAGAAGTAGACGAGAAGATTTACAGATGAGTACTTTTTTGCCTGAATATAGAAATACATGCACTAAAAGGACAGAACATTATTCTACTTCAAACTTTTATGAAAGTCAAGATATTGAGAAAAGTAACTGAAGTCAAACACCAAAATAACACCATACCAAGCCTAAAATTAATTTGCAGTGATGAAATATTAGTAACACACCCACCATTTCCATGTCTTACTTAATGTTCCCATTTCCAAACAAGGACCAGAGTTATCATAGTTAACTTCTAAATAATACAATAGTGGAGACAACTGCAAACATGAAGAAAAAATGCACTGTTTAGTTCCTGGGCTTTAAAGGTTATGAGGTATAAAGGTTTTTCGCAGTATTAAATGTTCTTTTGAGTGGATTATTTCCCAGTGTAAACTGCTGAAATCTACTCAAAAGACAGACTTATATACTTTCTTTTATACTTTGTTAACTGTCCCTCAAGTTAATCATTTCTCAAAAATTCCAAAATATTTCACTTTCAAATGAACATAACCCCCAAGCAAGACTTAACCGACTGAGAATATGCCACCCACTTGTGTTTCTGTGTATGAGTCATGGAGTCATTAAAATTATCTTTTTCCTCCCAACTGGATTGAACAGCAACCCCCAAAAGTACGCACTAACCACTCTGTTTGGATAAAAACAGTTCAAAAACAGAATTGTGTAACTAATTTTCCAGAATAGAACTGAACTGACCACAACGCCTCAGGCTCATCTGACACACTAGTACAACCGCACTGCTTTTAAAACCATACAGTACAGCAGGAAAATATTAGTAAACATGCTTGTGTTATCTTCTAAAACTCAACAGATTATGCAGTCCTGGATTTGAAAAAAATGTACAGGCTCTTAAAACTCGATATTATTGTGAGTCTGACTGTAAAATTAGCAAAAGATTAGCAAAAGATTTCCAAAAGATTTCCAAAACACTGCCAGGTGACCGGAGCACTATGCCTTTATGCTAATGTGTTAAGGAACACAGTGTTCACTGTTAGAAGTGGTTTTTGATATTTTTAATGCTGGAAATGTAACTTTGCAGGGCGGATAATACTGTATGACCAACAGACAATGACTGAATAACTCCTGGTTTTAACAAAGTAAGAAGCTAAAAAATTACAATTATCTATCATCAGTTGCTAATTCAATTTGATACAATTCAGTATCAAAGTTGCTAATTCCTAGTAAGGGATGCCTACACCTATCCTGGAAGCAAAGGGCACAAAGGGGGACTCCATCCTGGACTGGACATCAGTCCATCGCAGGAAACAGTTTGTGAAAGCTGAAAGCCCTAGAGAAAACTGTAGTTTTCATGAATACAGTACTAAACATTGCTTATTGTTAGGAACTTTCAGACAAGTAACTATTTTATTTCTGTGTCATTATTATTTGTGATGCCATCTGAAAAAGACAAACCAACATAAAAGCAGGCTTAGGGTTGCAAGAGACAAGAATCTATCCTGGAAAATATCATGTTCCAGATAAAGCCTCTTAAAAGTGAAACCCAAATGCTTACAATGAATCTGCACAAAAAGCCTTCCAAAAGCATGGAATGTTAAGAGCTAATAAAATCAGTTAAATGCTAATAAAATCAGGCAGTTTATACTGTGGCTTTACGCAAAGTATGTGAAATGTTGCCTATGTGGATATTATCAAAATGCCTTTAAAAGAATGTATTTAGCACAGCTTTCAGATTGTGAATTTCAGATCCTGCTGAAAGACGGAGTGAGTTTTGGGGAGATAAAGATCTCCACCACCATTCACTTTGAAGTTCACTGGAGTGTTGATCATGGTTAATAAGCAACTACGTAAATATTGAATATTAATGCACATAACAGCTGCTGCTGACTTAATTGTAAATATATTATAATAAATTGTATTTTTTAAACAAGAGAGCTTTCAATAAAGCGTGTCTTTGCAAAGTGTGTATATATGTTTTAAGTATTTTAAAGGGAGAATCATGCTTTCTTTAACCGCAGTATGATACAGTATATAGCTGTACAATTAAAACATTATTAAATCTACTTTTATGGGTAATATGGCCCAGTTTTTTGTTGCGTATTTCAACCAAATAACACAAACCACTCTTCCTATTATTTTACAAAACTATACATAGAATGTCGCTCTTGAGCAAAAAATGCTTTCTATTACAATAGGGTAGAGTATCATTAAAACAGGACAAGGTGTGTACAGTACACAGTTTACATGCTTCAGGCTAAATGATTACCAGATGATAAGAAATGTCATGCTGTGTGAATAGTTATTCTAAACTCTGTCCTGATGCAGGTATACAGATGTTACATGTAGTCAAGAAACAAAATTATTAAATTTACTGCTGAGGTAATATTATCTGGTGATACATATCTCAGGTTCCCTGTCTAGTAAATCTGTACTGCTGATTACCTCAGTTAGCCTGAAGTCAGAGTAGTACATTTCAGTGTCAATGCCATTAGAGCACTATCATTATAACACTTGGTGCCATTTCACATGTGAAGCAAATTTAATGGCTCACAATTTGGTTTTACACTTAATTAGTATGAATAGCCCACCTACTGTAAATTAATGGATAGATCATGTTGGACAAGCAATACTTGGAAGTGAGTGATCTGTCTCTGGGGATTATGAGTAAAAAGGCAGGCGAAAAGGAAGGGTATGTGTCCCACAGCTAACAAATTAATGTTTAATTTAGAAAACAAAATATTTTAAAAATCAAAAAAGGAAAATGGATTAGAAATGATTTTCAAGTGCATTAGTAAAGTACTTTGCCAACACCCTATCATCTGTGTCTGGTGGGCAAAATCCAGTCTGAGAGGTTACAGGTAGGATGTGGTCTGCGTTTTGCTGAACTGCACCACAGCACAGTCTGTATTTCTGGGTAAAAGATTAAAATCCATTCCTGTGTACAGTACAAGCAAACCTTCACTACTCAAGTAGGAAATAGCTATGCATCACAGAGATTATGACACCACAACTCAACATATCCGAAAGGTTCGTTATTTCCATTTATATTGGTCAGAGTAGACTTCATAATTACAAATGAAAGCGACCCATCAGCACCGTGTAGCTCATTTTGGCTCTAAATAGAAGAGAAGACACAGTACCTGTTTCAAGAATTCAAAATTCTAAAAGTCTTAAACAAAGTCAATCCTATGAACATCTTCAGAATCTACAGTAAAGGATGAGCCAGAGGACACGGGGAAACTTTTATAAACCTACAAGAGTTTTGTTGTGGGAGTAAGGAGCAAGCTGCTCGGCCATTCACTTGAACTTGTTTAAAGTGGAAACGGTTTCTTTTGAGAAATAACTGGATGATATTGATAGATCGACTAACTACTTCTTATGATCTTATTACTGTGCAAACATTACTAAAGTTGGAAAATATTTTTAAATAAAAAAATACTTTCCATACAATCAGTTATTTACCTCCCTGGTCCAAACTAGTAGTACAAGTTTATTGAACTCCCTTCCCACTTTCACATGCAGAACTGCAAACTGGGTCCCTTTTAACTAGACAAGGAAACTAATGTTCAGTGAGACTTTGTTGTACATCTAGTGCATGAAAATGTGCAGAGATAATCTATTAATTACAGGGTAGGTAGACGATCATCTCACTGAAGTGCGATAAATATTTTTTGGGAAACAATCCCTACCTTTTACTCTCATGATATTGTCATGGTATTAATTCAGTCTTAAGGAAGCATAAAGCACAAGGTTTGGAAAGAGGAATTCAACTTACCTCTCAGTCCCAGTTTGTGAGCGATCAAAAGAAATGTATTTTCTGTAGATAAGGGCGTGATGCGGGTCTGAAACAAATCTCACTTAAAATATTTATCCTTAGGTCCGTAAATGTTTAGAATAACTTTACAAGTAAAAGTAAAGTTAAATCTTCAATATTCGGCATTGTGGAAACCTGTGGATTTTCATACGTTTGCTTGCTTCGAGGAAAACGCATCCTCTAATTTTGGGAAAAGTTTTCTGATTAATCACCGGGTGGAAAAAGCTCCTTCCATGTTAATGAAAGGTGAGGGAGTGGTTAATAATTATGTTTTTTGCGCAATTGACCATTGTAACTGAATTGTAAATTCAAGGCATTTGAATACGGCTTGATATTAGGAACACGAATATAAAACAAATAATGGAAATTGTATCTTCCAAATTTGTAAATAATAAGTAATTTTTATTGGAATGCTTTTCCACATTTGGTTGTGATTGTGCAAAGAAATACCCATTAGGAAGTGTCACGTTTTTGATGTACTGACAATCTGTGTGCACGGAGATATTACGGTTTCCCTAATATAAGTGGCAGAGGTCAGTATCTCTTATCTTGTATCATCATACACTCTATGAATGCTGAAACGTGTGCGTGAAGGCTGTACACACTGACAAATGGTCTGTGACAGTGTGCCCAACCTAATCAAAATAAAACAAAGTAAACAATTTCTTCTGCGCATTATAGCCAAAATTGGAAGTGACTTGAACAAATCAAAAGATAACAGCTTTACGTCAAAAAGAAGATATTTGAATAAAAACATAAATACTTTAATCTGGCTAGATTTATATTTCATACATCATGGTCCCACAAATGCTGGATTAAGTATCTCAATGACACAGACTGTTCAGACTTCAGTCAGCAAGTGTATATATAAATGCATGTTTTTATATTTGGAAATGTTAACTGACTATCAGAAAAACCCTCCACAACCCATCCCCCTGGAACTCTGACAAGGTTGTAGTGAGTTTGGTGGAGTCTTTTAAGATTCTAGTAATAACCAACTTTAACACCCTTATATGGGTTGCAGATGTTATAATGTTACTGTATAAGTATTACAAAGAAAGGGCACCAGACATTGTATTTCCTGCATCAGTTGGAAAAAGTCCAGTGCTTCCAGGCCATTCTCATTCATGTCAGTTTTATGGAGCCATTATTGAGATCATTCTCACAGCTTCTAGAACCGTTTGGTTTGGCAACACGTCTGTCTATTCTAGAGGGAAATTACAACCCATTGTCTGCTGTGCAGACTCATTGGCTATCGAGAATACCATCTGTTTAAAAAATTTGCCTTAGGGAGACACTACAATCAAAACCAAAACCAGTCAGCATATGAATAGCTTCTTCCCCAGAGCCATCAGCCTGCTTAACCAAAACACGTGAATACAGGATGTAGTGTGTATATAATTGTGGACTTGTTTGTAAAGTGTACGTTATATACAGTATATATATTTATTATTGATTGTTTCTGTCTATATTTTTGCACTAAGACACAAAATCATATTCCTTGGACATGTAACATATTTGTCAATAAAAGTTTTTATTCTGATTTAATCCTTTATTTAACCAGGTAAATCAATTGAGGGCAAACACATTTACAATGATAACCTGCAGAGTACCCATTTATATAGCAAGACATTTTTCTGGAGCAATTGGAATGAAGTAACACCCAAGATTCCAGTCTAGAGTCCAGGGCCCTGACCACCCTGCTGACGTGTACCAATGAATTTGATGTGGTCGACACCTTAAACAGAAAACCTCAAATGACAAATTATCCTGTTTGGTTTCTAGCCTTTTTCAGAAAGCAATGTATGCAAGTGCCTATAAATGCTTTGGGATATATATAATTTGGTAGAAATTACTTCTTCTGTTGTATCACAAGTATACATATGTCTGAAATAGATTTGGCGAACTTCGGTAGTTATTGAACAATACAGGCCTCTTGAAATACATAGACATACAGAAGTCGTGTAAAATCCCTTTTTCTCCAATTTTCGCCATTACAATAATTAAAGGCTAGCAATACCAAGGTCACAGAAGTGCAATTTCAGATGCATCATGGGTAATAAAATGAAAATGAATAAAATGGTAATAAAAGAAGAAAGCTATAGGTGGAAATCAGAAAAGTGTAGTGGATACTGTATATGGGTACAGATAGAACTGTTTGCCCTTTAGGCCAGTTTAATCTTCAAGTATAAAACCTGTTTTTCATATTTTTATATCCCCATCACACTTAGTTTGTCTTTGCTTTCCACAATATCCCCAGTATTGCCATATTCCTAAAATTGTAACTCCCCCTTGCCTTTAAAAAATTCTAGCTAAGAAATTGATTGACATAAGGACATGGATTGTCCTTGGTTTCTAGCTTTAAGGCATTTATAACTGTTTCTTTAACAACATATCAAAAGAGAAAACTGGCTTAATTGAAAGGTTACGGGAGGACTAGGATCTATTTTCCAAGAATTCTCTGCTTAAAGAAGCGCCTCCTTTAATCCTGAATGTTCCTAAGCCTAATTTCCACTTGTGTGTCCAAGTCTTTCTATTGTTGTTAAACGTGTCCCTTAGGTTGACTTGACTTTGTTGACTTGAGTATTTTGGAATGTTTGATTCAAGTCCGTTTATAATCTTCTCTGTTTAAAGCTAAAAAGGTGCAGTTTCCTTATTACAATAGGGAATATCTGTAAAGGTAATACAGATAAATACTGTATGTTGTCTGTGATTTTTTTTAATTTATAGATTAATAGTAAGGCTTATAAATTAAATTTGGAAACTAGTCTCAAAGAGCCTGGTTTTAGGAGAGGAAGTCAAATATCCAGCCTGGAGCGAACAGACGTTTGTCTTTTAGAATGATCTTTTCCTTATAAATGCCCCAGGGCCATATGTTGGTGTTCATACGCCCTAGGCACTTTCACTCTGAAATGTGCAAAAAGAGCGGTAAACGCCTTTTGAATTATGTCGATTGACATGATGCACTTTAAACTATTCTAATGCTAAACCACGTGATTGATGGAGCGAGTCGAGTGACCATCACTTCGATACTTCTAGTTTCTAGAACAGCCACTAGACAGCGCATGATTATTGATTTGGAGCACCTAGAGTCGATCGCAAGCAAGTTGTTTCAGTTCGTATTTCGTTAGTCACTAATGTTTCCCTCCTTCGTAGGCCCTAGGCACTGAAACTTCCAATTGGGTCAGGTGGGCCTGTCATTTGGAGCTGTCCTTATGTTCTTATCATTTACCTATACAGTATCATTTACTGTGTTGGAACAAATTTGGAAGTTTTAGAACAATTGCTAAAACCCAAATGAAGTTAAAGATCTACAATACTTTTCGCTTTTGTGTTATCATCTTTGTTTAATTTAAAAAAGTTAAAAAACGTGCTTTCCTTACTGTAATTAATAAAATGTTAATTACAAGCTGTACAAGGAAGGTTCTAATAATTATTTTCATTTTTTTTTTCATTACAGAAATAAGTACTTCTTAAAGTTGTGTTTTATTTCTTCTCTTTTCAGCATGGAATGAACCTATTACTTGTTCCCTTGCAGCCTATGCATGCTGACGCAGCTACCTACCTGTACTATGAATACAAATTTTGTATAAGAGTGTGCATGGAAAAATATATGTGAAAGTATATATACAGTACAGGTATAGTATATGTATATCCTAGATATACTGTATACAGTACACAGTACAGCATATACTAACAGCCCACATCTATTAGACTTCTTATAGGTACATGAAGGCTCTACTCTTTCTATGCCTTTTCAGTGAAAACTGTGTGAAAAATGTGTAATTCTGTAGTTGTGCAATGACACAGTGTTGTCATGACTAGAATGCCATCCAGGGTAAAAGAAAGAAGACCCAGATAAACAAAACATAAGGACTCCTGCCAGACCCAGTTTTTGGTGGGATATTCACGTGTGAGCAGCCTCAGGAAAACAGAGAGCACAGCTGGATTTGACGACCACTTAGGAACTTTGGGATAGACTGGGCATTTTGGTTTAACACGAGTCAAATGGGTGTGGATGCAGGAGTCTTCTAACCAACAGTGCTGATTAAATACGACCCTTTACTATCTGAAATAATTAGGCATCCATCACCATAGCTGTCAGCACATCAAGGGGAAACATTGCCATCCAAACCTGTAAGGTTCAGGATACTCTTCCCCTTTACAGAACCAAATCCTTATCAAAGTTCAGGATTCCACTTTTATCAGCTGCTGCCAGTGATTGACAAAGCTGGAAGTTCAGTGCCACTGGAAGTGAGGCCAATTAAGCAGGCAATCAATTATTGTTCATGTTCATCTCTCTGTATATACCTGATTGCATAAGAACCAAGTTGCTTGGAGAACATTTGTTATTTCTAAATTAAAGCCACACTGAATTGTCTTTAGCAAATCCAGTGCTATTTTTGTGGCTTAAACATGCATTAGAGAGATGCTGCCAGAGACACAGCATGTGTATTAATCTGGACATGGGCCAAAGCACATGGAAAAACTGTGCCAGCTGTCCAGCTCAGCTGTGGTTCAGTGGGCAAAGATATCTTCACTTTTCTAGTTCTTTCTGTGTTCTCCTTCTCACACATACTCTCTCTCTGAAACAAACAGCTTAGAAACACGCAGTGCAGGTCATCGGGGTGAAACTCCAGAGAGTCTTGAGGACACTGTTTCTGCCTCAGTACAGACACCATGGGGTCCACTGCTGACTTTTGGGGCTCTGCTCTTCTTCTCAAGAAGGTGCGTCACCTGAGATGCAGCACACTGGAGAGTATCCATCAGACGCTGTTCCTCCGCCCCTTGATGATGACTTTTAGGACATGGGAGAGGTCCAGGGTTTTTGTAATTGTTTCCATGATAACCGGGTGCTCTTTCGCTCCAGCAATGAACTCCTCCAGTGTCAGCTCCCCTAGAGAATGAAAAAAGGACAAACTACAGACAACGCATTCCTATATTTTATTCTTAAGACTACTGAATCTCTAAATAATGGTACAGCAACTGTTGTGAAGACACAGTGACATAAAAGGTAACTATTGGCACCTGGGAGTAATAAAAAAAAACATACTCCTGCCATAGTTCATGCAGCTGTACCAGTCCAACATCATCTTTAAAACACTGGATAAAATACAGAGTTTCAGTTGAGCAAATTTCCACCAGCTATATCAGGCTTCTGTGTTGTACTGTACTTTCTGTCTGGGCAGTGTCATTGACTTTTCCAGGGCAGAGTCTGGGACAGAAGTATGTGATTCACCAAGAAAAAAGCAGCATGAAAATAAGCCTCCTTCTGATAACAGTGACACGGTCACTTAAAGTTCTGATTTTACCAGTTAGCTAGCTGACCAGTTAATGACAAGGTTTACCAGCGTAACTAATTCTAATTTTTATTTACTGTGGCCTCTTAAACCTTTACTTTTAAGTCACTTACCATCGCCGTTCACATCTATAGTGTCAAATATCAGGGTTGTGATTTCCTCTGGGGATATGTCATAGTGTCGATTGATGTCTTGTACGGCCTGAAATTGAACAATATGGTATGATGAACTGATCAAAATACATTTGAACATGTGAAAATACATTGAATACATACATTTAAATAGATTATTTTATTTTAGAAGAATGGGTGTCACAGTGGGTGGTAATTAGCATTGCTGACTCGCAGCTCTTGGGCTCTAGATCCTTATGGTTTAGTAAAGCTTCAGCAGAAAACAAAAGTGTCACCATGTGAAAACTGTGCCACTGCAGTAAAGGCCTGGATGAGCAGCAGAAGGATTAGGCATACCAAAATTAAAAATGAAAAAAACATATGTGTTATTAGGATTATTACTTTTCTTTATTTCCTGCAAAATGTTTCTGGTTAAAAAACAAGCCAAAGCAGACAGTACAACCCATCTATTCACTTTAAATTAGTTTGTAAACAGTATGGATTATGAGACATGTTTGTTTTGGCAATAATGATATTTGGCTTGTTCTGAGCAATAATTACAAGTATGCTCTTTATATTTGATTAGATCAAACTAGTCTCTTTGAATGAAAGGTACAGTATACAGGCCCACTGAGGGCAGTTCTCAGTATTTTTATTTTTAACAGCACCTTCAACAATTTGGAGAATAGCTCCAAATTGACTCCATTTTCTAACTGCTTCATTCAATTCAGGGTCACAGGGCAGCCAGAGCTTAGCTGTAGCTGGCAAGCAACTGGTACAAGGCAGGGTACACCCTGGGTGGGATGGCAGTCCATTGAAGTGTAACCCCTCTTAACATCAAAAGTTTTTTAGATACACACTCATACCAGGGCCAATTTTCCCAGAAGCCAATTAACCTACCAGTTTGTCGTTGGAGTGTGGGAAGGAACTGGAGCCCCCGAAGGTAAAGGAGACCCATGAATACAAGGCCAAATTTATGTAGATAGCACCAAGGTATGGAACTAAACCCAGGGCACAAGCACTGCGAGGCAGCAATCTTAACCTCTGTCTTACTGTGCCAACATATGTGATAGAAAAATTTGACCGGTTCTTCAATAACTAAAGCAAAAAAAAAAAACATTTCTTGGTTTTTCAAGATCTCACCAACATGGAAGAAGACTAGAGTATAAACAAGTATCAATAAAACTACAGTCTTGGGCTGCAATACGAATATTTTCTTAACTTTCATTGAATTCTAGTCAATAGGATGATAGGATCTTAAATGGTTCAGATGCTCAAACTATCATGCACTGGACATCCAGCAGCATCAGACTGCACTGTGTGCTGCATTGCTACTGTATGCATGCAGGCGAGGTGGTGATCAATTTTCATCACACTGGAAAAATCAAATGATTGAAGTATTATCTAACCTATTACAGTGCATTCCAAATCAGAATTGATTTAAAATATCTGCACATGAAGACACTGTGTGAGTGTTGAGGTTGTTAACTGTCCAGAAAAACAATGAAGAAGAGGTATTTTCCAATTGCTCACCTTAAATATCGTTTGAAGTTCCTCTCGGTCTATTTTGCCATTTCCATCAGCATCGTAGAGCTTGAAATACCACTTTAATTTCTGGTTGATTTCTCCTTTTAGCACTAAGCTGATCGCAGCAATGTATTCCACAAAGTCTATAAAGCCGTCCTGAAATGAAAGAAAAAGTTTCTAACATTTTCTGAAATATTAAAATCAAATTGTAAAAAAAAGGAGTGTGACCTGACCAGCTTGAGAAAACAAGTAGTAGGCCTGCCAAAGTAAAACTTAGCAGCTTGGGAAAGATTGTATTAGAGGCCATTGAAACCTGACAGCTGTTTGCTCTTCAGGATCAAGAGAAGGAATTAATTAAAAAATGAAATCACATTAAAAATGCAGTTACAAATATTGTGATGTGGACACTCGTGACTCAACTTAGTTAATGTGGTATGAAAATGCTTGTAAAAATTGGCCCTTAATGAAAATGTTTCCTTTCTCAATACCCATTGTCTTCTGTTTACTTAGATTATTATACTTAAAGCACTTTGCTTAAACACTGTGTACGCATAGTCCCAACAAAATATTTGTGAGCCATTTAAATCAGTCCACATTTGCTTATATTTTAAACAAAAAAAGGAAATTAGATGTTCATGGAAATGTAAAGATATCTTGATTAAATTTGGATTTTTTAATTCACAAAATGACCCAACAGTAAATATCCTTGTGTGAATATGTACTGTACTGTACTGTACAGTATGTCATCCTTCAGATTCAGTAACTGGTGGAACCTCATTGAATAGCAATGACTTTAACTAGACATTTCCTATAATGGTCTTTCACATTTTTCCTTTTATGAATTTTAGCTCATTATTCCTTCCAACTTTAACTTGGACAATCCAAAATGCATTCTACTGTAGATCTGTGTGTATACTTAAGATCATTGTGTGGCTGAATGAACCACTTTCAGTTCACCTTCAGCTGGTGAATGAATGGCCTGACATTCTCCTCCAGAATTTGCTGATACAAAGCAGAATTTTTAGTCATCCAGGTCTTGAAGCAGCAAAGCAGCCCCAAACCATTATACTACAATTATGACTACAACTGACAGATGGAACAAATTTAATCTGTTGGAAGGTAGTGTTTGGTTTTCAACACACAAAATATTTCTCCTTTTTATCCAGTAGTCTTGTAAATTGTCCAAGTGCTCGCTATCGAATTTGAGATAAGCAGCAATGTTCTTTTTTAAAGGTCAATGGTTTTCTTCTTAGCTAGCCTCTAATGTTCTTGTTTGGGATATTTCCTGATGATGGAGGCCTGAACACAAACATTAGCAACAGTGAGAAAGGCTTGAAGATGCAGGCCTGACATTGCTTAAGATTAAGATGGGTTTATCTTCCATTATGTGTATAAACCTAACATTTGGACATAGAGAATTTAGCTTATATATAATAAGGCAATAATAGAAAATATAGAAGCAAAACATTTTAATGAAACAATTGCATTTATAGATTCTTTTTTGCTGTTTACACAAATTCCAACAGTTTTGACCTGCAATCTCCTTTATCTCCTCAGAGATTACCATGTCCTCATTTCTCCTCTCCTGTCTGACACTTTCATTAGGCTTTTCTATTTAAAACTCCCTTGACCATTACCATTGTGTCATTAAATACACAATGTTTTAACAAAACCGTGTACTTGAAACCTGAGGGTTTCTGTGGTTTGTAGCATGTGTGCTACATGTTTATGCTAATTAAAGCAGTTAGGCAGGTTGCTGTCTAAAGTAGATAAGATATTTCCAATAACAACTTGAAATATATAATTGTCATCAAGACTAGGTGGACAACCAGAGAACCCTGAAATATTGTAAGAACAGAAGAACAGGCACAAACCATTCAAACATTTCCTAATGTTTTCAGAAACAAATACAACAGAGGATCTATTTTTATTTATATTATTGCTATCTCTGCATCAAAATAAATCATAAATAATCACAGCTACACCTTCTCAAGTCTTCAGGTTTTCTGTTTTCTTTACCGTTTACTGATTTCACTCAAATCTCTAAAGCTCTCTAGTCACATTGTTGAAGCTGAAAGCATGAAATCCCTAATTGTAAAAAAAACGTGGAAATGACAGGTGGCAACACTATTTTTAAAATGCAGTGAAAAAAATACTTTGCAGGATGCACAGGCAGGAGACACTGTAAAAGCATAGTGTTTTCCTATTACCTTTCACCCTAAATTTAACAAACTACAAACAAGGGGCACATATTTTGAAAGGACTGCATTGGTTTCACCACTATTCTGAATTTCATATCAAGGCATTCTTGATATTCAACCTTCAAAGCTTGAAGAAGAATATTTTGTATTGCCCTGTCTTTACAACTGCTTACAGAGGAATTGTGATACTTGAACACTTACATAAACATAGTCAGAGGTATGAGTCATACCATGCAAACTCTTACTTGTTCATAAGATGCAATTGTAAAGATTTCCAACTCTTTTTCACCCCATCATTCCACAATTACCAAAGTTATTAAAAATCTGAGCTTCATGCTGTTACCAGTTTCATGCTGATGCTAGACAACACTAAGTTGCTTTAGTCCCAGCAAACAGGTGCTGGAATTCTTACTTTATATCAACAGTATAATGACACCACAGATTGTTTTGGCATATATTTTAATTTTCTACCTACAAAAGACAAAGCACTGTGAACTGCAATCTAAAATACTGTGAACTGCATATCTGATTTCCATCTTTCCCAGAGTGTTTTCAGTGCTCTTTGTGGGGCTCAGAATTTTTTAACCATCTTTGTGCAACCAGGTCACCTAGTGTAGCCCTGCAAGGCATCTGCTGGTTTTTAATTTTTAATCCCTTGAAAATTCATCCCACTAAATCAAAATGACAAAATCTATAGTTGTGATGTATGTCAACAGCAGGCTAAAGCAGAGCTGCCATGTCAGATCAACGGAATTTATCTAGGATGCTTTAAAATACTCAACCTGAGGGGTCACATGAGACAGGTGCCTTCTGACCTTGCATTTTGCTCCAGGTGGAATGCCGTCATGTTAAATCAGATTTGTGTCAAAAAGCTCAGTTTCCCAGGCAATCCAATTAGTACCAAACTACTCATAGCTGCTTATGGTATGAGAGAAGCTAATCCATTCATCCATTTCAAACTGCTTCATCCAATTCAGTGGCACAGGGGAGCCAGAGCCTGGCAAGCAACGGGTGCAAGGCAAGATACACCCTGGATGGGATGCCAGTCCATTACAAGGCACACACAGACACACACACTCTCACAACAGGGCCATTTTTCCAAGAACACAGAGAGCATATACAAACTCCATACAGATAGTACCCCAGGTCTGGAATTAAACCCCGCACTGTGAAGCAGCAATGCTAACCATTGTGCCACCATGCCGTGCGAGAAGCTAACCACATTTCTTTTTTTTCCTCTGCTCTTTTTCCACAGTAGAACTGGCCAATTGCATTGTCCATGTTTATAGTTTAGCGCAATTAAAATTCATTCCACACTGATGCTTCAACAGCCTGTTTGGAAATTGCAGAATCTTTCCCATCTGTCCCTAATGTTGCTGTGCTTTTCTGGAAGTCTCCTTTGGCATGTACTTCCATCTGGTTTGTCCAGTGTCCAGTAAGAAGTGGCTTGAAAGTAATGTGTGGCCGGTGATGACTCTTACCCCGTTCATGTCGAAGGTGTGGAACACCTGGTCGATGTAACTGTTTGCCTCTTCGGTCACCCTTTGCAGCCCCAGGATGGCTTTCAGCTCGTACAAGGTGATGAGACCCGACGGAGACTCCCGCATGAATTTATTGTACCAGTGGTGCATATCCACAGCGAGGATGTCATCTAGCGAAGAGCCATAGGCGCCCATTCTGCTCAGTCAATTCCCCGATTCAATGTCTCACTGAAGAGCTGGCTCTGCTTCTTCCTGAGAGCTGCTCTGGACTGGCTAAAAGCAAAACTGAGCAACGGCTACTGATTTCTAAACCTCTTAAGCCTGCCTGCTAAAAAAGACCATGCCCAAAAATAGACATTTAATGAGATAACCATCTCCTCTCGACAGGAATGGCAAGGCCTTAACATCAAGTTGGAATGGGACATTTATGTAATCTATGAAGTTCCCTCTCTGCTGTAGCTAGTGCAATGTGTGGTTCATTCTCCGTTATCTTAACCTGAGGCAGACACCAAGACAAAGAAGTCTTGACCAAGGCCGGTAACAAACACTGGAATGTGCACTATTACAGTATATATTTACAGAGCCAGCTGCAATTCAGTGATGACAGAATTGTATTGCAAGACGTGTTTGAGTCTTTACTCTGATTCATAAGGAGAGTTCATTACCTTGGGAGCTGAGGGGATTAATTGGCAGGTTTTAGTGCACTTAATATAAAGTTATCCAAGTTATCTGAGCATCCATCAGGAATAGGACTTTTATGCTGCTATGCAATTTCTACATCCTGCTTAGCCACAGATTCTTTTGGTTTTGCACTCCACTTGAACTCAGAATTGAATCAATTACTGCCATACATAGTCTGATTTTTTGCCAGGTATTCAGTCATCAAAAAATGCTTCAAAACCAGTAACACTGTGGTTCTCCAAGACCGGAGTGAGTATCACTGCTCTTGACATCAATATACTTGAAGTTTTACTCTTTTAAGATAACTAAGTATGTAATTTTTGTATTGAACTTTTTGTATTGATTTTAAAAAACTATAACAACTTTGTGGAATGAATTTTCTGAACTTTTTTAAATAAAAATTAAAAACATACGCAGCAAGGAACAATTCTCTCTAGTTGTGTATGTAACACCTGAAACTGTAATTGGTGAAGATAAATATTATAACTGTTTTTTCAAATATGCAAGACATGTTAGCCTGTCACTGCAGGATAGCATGTCCTGCAGTGACACACGACCAGGAGTTACAAAACCACACTAGGAACAGTGCCAAACAGCCAAAGGTTGTTAACCTGCGGTCCCTTTTTAGTAAATCTGCAGTGGATTAACAGGACTTCTGAACAAGATTACCAATAAGCAGTGACAAGTGATGACAAAGGCCGAGGGAAGATTTTCTTAGACAATCAAATGTGTAATATAATGACAACTTATTAAGGGATTTTAGAAAAGTGTAGTTGTTAGTTCAGAAAGATTACAACAAGGACACATAAAGTACACATTTCTATGACTGAAAGGTTTCTGAATGCCTGTATCTGAAAGCTGTGCTGAGCACATAATAATAATAAATACCAGGGTGCTTTTCGAAAAGAGTAGGGGTGTTACTCCAATTTCCCATTGGCCTTTACTAATCATGTCCTCCTAATGAATCCCCATCTATGAATTGGCTTCATTACTCTGTTCTCCTCCCCACTGATAGCTGATGTGTGGTGAGTGTACTGGAGCACTGTGGCTGCTGTCGCATGATCCAGGTGGATGCTGCACATTGGTGGTGGTGGAGGGGAGTCCCTATTACCTGTAAAGCGCTTTGAATGTAGTGTCTAGAAAAGTGTTATATAAGTGTAAGGAATTATTATTAGATTATAATAATAATTTTACATGGCTTCATTAATTATAAGCCATATAATTATGTGAATTATATGGCATATAATTAATATTAGCCTTTTTCATCACACATTTGCATTTTTATTTGGAGGTTAAGGTGTGTTCTAGAATCTCTGAAATCGCTAACAGTATACTGTAGTAAGGTTCCAACTTTTTTAATAGCAGCTTATGCTGATTTTCTGAATACATGAATATTGCTGAATACACAATGGGAATGCACAAGTATATTTTATGAGATAAAGCACAGTAAGCATTAGACTAGGAGAATAACATGCCAAAAACTGCAGTTTCACTGATCTCCTGGTCCATGACAACATCTGAAGAGGTTGAAGTGGGGAACTGCTTCAGTATGAACTGGCTGCAAAGAAAAAAGCAGAGGGTAATTCCACTCTGAAAAGTTGAAAAAAAAACATCAGCTGTTGAGCCTTCATCGGGTGTCATGGTGTCAGGTGGCACCTGAAGAATGCTCAACAACTGAAACACAGCAGTTTTTCTTTCTGCTTTTCAGAGTGGAATTGCCCTGTGCTTTTCCTCAGATGACATCTTGGTTTGGGTCAGCTGGAAATCCCCTTCAATATATTTTCAATTACATGTTTAAACCAGAGATCTGGTTGATGACCTTACAATGTTTCAAAGCTTTTAGTTGACTGTCAGTACCTACTGTACAGTAATTTTAAATATTATTATTAGTTTTTTTTTAGTTCAAATTTTTGAAGGGGTATGAGCCTCATGTTGTCTAATTGAAGAAGCTTTAGATTACATCAGTTAGTCCAGAATCTTTTCTGATCCAAACAAGAAGACTGTCTCCCTTCTAAATGCTCCCGTCATTACAAATTCACTGGATAGTCAGAGGAAACTCAACAGCTTTCCCTATAGCCTCCTGCAATTTCATGTGCTTTCAATTATTGTTAGTAACTCCACCTTTTATTTATTACTCAGGAAGTCTACAAAAATGTTACAACTTGTGATGACATCTTTGATGATGGTGATCTGTGCACATATTTCAGAGTCTGAAGATAACTTACACATTTCCTGGGTTTTCCCATTGTTTTGCATCTGAGACCCCACTAATTTGACCCTTTGTGTCTGCTGTGGACATGAAACACTTCTTTACTTCTTCACCCAGTGGATGATCCAATATTTTCATCACCATGACCTTTTTGTCTAGTGTAAAATTAGACCCCTTCCCCGTTATCTGTATATGGGATAGAGAACTTGACAAGTCACAAGGGAGTCCTGTCTAGGTTACTGCCTTTGACTCAAATACACTTTCTCTTCCTCCAAAATGTTAGCACACAAGGTAATTCATTTTAATACTGGCACAAAATTGTACACAACTTCAAACTAGAGGTACCATATGAAGATTTCTCCTGATCTTCTCTGAAGAAATACAGTCAGGGAGTTCCTGGTCCGTGCCTTTGTGTCGTGGTAGTATCCTGTAATGGTGTGTGTTCTGATGTGACTGTATTGCTGAGGCCCCAACTACTCCTTCTCAACAACAAATCCCGAGCAACTATTAGTATTCAGGCACAATGTCTGCTGCTGGTGGGAATCATTGTAGCTAAAAAAATCAATGGGCTGGAGATGGGCAAAGTTCCTTTTGTGTTACTGCCAGGTCTTTACTTTTCTCCTGTTTTGGCAGCAACCAATGACCATGAAATAGTCATCAGTATAGCAAAATTCAGGACAATTTAAGAGAAATGGATCCTCCATTAGACAGATACTGAGACCACTTCTCCTGACTCTCCATTTGATCTATTCTCATGCAGAGTTTAATATCAGAATGATATATAAATGTCAGCATTGTTCTAGAAATTGAAAAACACCTTCTCTGTAATTGCCACTGGTGTCGATGTTTGATATACTAAACCTTGGCCTCAAATGACCAGGGTTCCAATTCAGTTTAGGTCACAAATGATGTTGGCGTGGTTCAAACAGTGGTACCTCCTAATCCTCTGTTAGATGTCAATCTCCAGTGACAAGAGACCCCCAGACAGTGGATGCAGGGATGGTGAAGATTACTCTTGTAGGCAAGTCCATGGTCTTAAGTGTTCCTCCCAGGATAGTTAAGGTCAGCTTAGAGACATGTGGCTTGCCTGAACTGTCACTCAGCTGTTTGGTGACAAAAAAAAAACAACAGTTAAAAAAAGGCCAGAGGGATTTTGAAGTGATCTAGAATTTCAGTGCAGAGAATTGGCAAAAAATGTAATAGAATTCTGGATTGACAAAAGCATATGTCTATCACATTCTTCATTTTGTGCAGAACTTTATAATAAATGACCTCCTAACTCACTTTTAGAAAATAAGGTTGAGCTAACTTTGTCATTTCAGTTGCATTTAAAAAATGGTTTCTTTGGTTTTGCAAGAATTTTGTTCATAATAATCAAACATACACAATAGCATGATCATATGATCCACGCATTTTCTGTATCTGTTTTATTCTTAGTGGGTTGAACATAGCCCGGTAGTATAGAGGGTGTAAGTGGGATGCCAGTTCATTGCAGGGCACACACACACAACCATATGGGGTTCTGTTAACCCTAAAGGGCATGTCTCTGGAAACTGAAGTACCATGAAAACACCTACATGGACAGAGGGAGAACTCACCCCATCTCACCATCAAACCCATCAACCAAGAGCTGCCCAGATTTTTCTGTGCATCTTTTTCAACACTAACAATTTTGCATAGGAGCACTGACTGATTTCGGCACTTCGCTTTCCCACTGAAAGAATGAGTTATGAATCCTGAAGTATTTTTTTTAATTATTCTCTGTATTTTATGGAGTTTTTAAAAACGGAAGGCAACACAGAAAAAAGCCAGAGTTGTGCTGATACAGCTCTGAGGCCAGTCTGAGGTGAAGTAAGAGCAAAAGTGCCTCACTCACATTGCATCACTCTCACCACTGAAGCAAGAACAGGTCATAGACATTCTTTAAATCTTTTTTAAGATGTTAGCAGGAAGTGGGTATGATTCCAGTATGTGAGCCAGCTTTGTGACTGTTTCCTGTTTCTAAGATTTTATCGATTACAAGCGTATTTCAACAAGCAAATGCAATTATAAAATTGACTGCTTCACTTTACACTCTACGTCAGTGTTGTCCAGTCCTTGTCCTGAGGGGCCTGTGTCTCTGCAGTTGATCATATCAACTCAGCTCTTAAAATCAATCAACTCATTACCGGCTTGAAGGGACCAATTTACCAGTTTCTCTCTGCTCTTCAGGTGCTGCTGCTTTGTAGATACAAGCAGCAACACTGGCCTCACAGGACCAGGACTGGACACTCCTGCTCTGTATTTTCCTTCTGTTTTGCAACACATGTATTCCAAAGACTCACAAGCCTCTTGATACTGTCTTGGGAGATGCTTTTTAATTGCCATGTAAACTGTAGCTTAACCTCATGATGCTGGCACATCTTTGATTTAAGAACATCTTCCCGGGTTCCAAAGAGATTAAAATCAGATTGGACTGCAAGAAGGATGTTGTAGAAGCTCAAACTGAGTTCTGCTCAGAAAGCCATTTCCAGCATAAGTTGTCCGTACTCTTGGGCCTCAGCAAACCAGTAAGAACATCCGAATGTACAAACAATAGGAGGTCCCTTGGCACATCTTATTTGCTAAAAGCTTAACTATGTAAGAATTTCTTAAAGTCTCCCACAGAGTCAGCTCTTTTGAAAACCCTGAACCGAACTTCTTCTGGTGTCCACAGGGTCTTGTGCTGCTGCTGATTTTACAGAAGTTCCCCATTTTGACTTGGTCAATGTCTTTTATCAGTTGAAATACCTGGATCAAGGAATCAAGGAATTTGTCTGGCTGCTTTGCTTTTTTACTCTACATCTGATGACCAAAAAAATACTCAAAAGTGATGTCTGGCTTATACAGTATGTCTGGCCAATCTATGAATTGGCTCCATTACTCTGCTCTCCTCCCCACTGATAGCTGATGTGTGGTGAGCGTTCTGGCGCACTATGGCTGCCGTC